TTGTCCGCAGTAGTAGATCTGGTGGTCATCTGATGTGAAGTGGCCCATTCCAGTCCATTTCAGTTCGCTGACCCCCAGAATGTCTATCTTTAGTATTGACATCTCACCAATAACAACATCCAATTTGCCCTGGCTCATAGATCTTACATTCCAGGTTCCTATGGTGTGTTGATCTTTAGAGCATCGGATTCGTCATTCACCTCCAGTACCGTCGGCCGCTAGCCTTCCTTTCGGCTTTGAGCTAGCTGCGTCATCACATCTGGGGCTAGTTGAACTTATCCTCTGCTCCTCCCCAGTAGCATTTTGGCCATCTTCCGACCTGGGAGTCCCATCTTCCAATGGCATACCGACATATCTCTGGTTGTACTGGTCCATTTAGTTTTCTTGGCAAGGATACTGGAGTGGTTTGCCATTGCCTTCCCCAGGGATCACGCTTGGTCTGACCTCTCTGCCACAACCGTCCCGTCTTGGGTGGCCCTTCACGGTTTCGCTCATGACATCATTGAGGTGCTCAAGCTCCAGCGCCCCGACAAGGCGGTGATCCTTTGCTGGAGTTTGACCAAGTATGACAAGCCTAAATACTAGGGGCCAGAATGCATAATGTATATTTTTATTGTGCACATAATACTACAGAAGGACATAATTTGAGGAGCAAGAGAACAAGACAAATGGTGTTGTTCATTTTTCTTGAGAGGATGGCATGGTTGTGTAGAGTCACAGGGCTTGATTATTTTGATTTCTAGTTCGTAGTTGTGGGTTTTCCAGGTAGGTCAGCCAAGGAGAAGAGACTGGTAGGTGCTGTATGCAAGGAAATAGCATCATAGAATTGGAAGAGACCTCATGGGCCATCCAGTCCAACCCCCTGCTGAGAAGCATCAGAAAGGTTTGCTCTGTCATGTCATCAGTAGGTGTGCTAAAAACATACTAATATTGATCTTTGCTAACTTTTGTAAATAGCATGTTGGGTACTTCATATCTGTTTGCTTTCATAGTAACAATGAAATGGAGACTAGAAACATGTTGACTGGTTCTCTCTAGTGAATATCTGGGCTAAGAGAGATTTGAGTTGTGATGTTCTATGTATAAATGGAACCAAGCCTTCCGTTAAGGGGTCAGGATCCTTACAGTACAAGTAGCAAGTTGTTTTCTAGTTGAACACTGACATTTGTGGAGCCACTTCCATTTGGGGTACATTACTGTCACATTAAGTGCCTTTTCCCTTTCTAACAGTCCCCCTGGAATTTCTTCCTAAAGCAAAAAGAGATTCAAATTGAGCAAATGATGAGTTAGGGATTGGTTTCATACAATCATGTAATTAGAAAAGCTCTCTGGACCACTGTTTCTCAAATTGTGCTCCTCCAGGTGTTAAGTCAGCTTACCAGCTGTTAAGAATTGTGGAAGCTAAAGTCCAAAACATCTGGAGGATCACAGTTTGAGAAAATTTGCACTGGACCATTGGCTCCAATCGCCTGCTCTGTGCAGGATCTCGAGCAGATAGCTTTCCAGGCTACTTTGAAGTCATCCAGAAAGGAGATTCCATCACCTCTCTAGGCAATTGATTGCAGTGCTGAACTTCTCTTACTGTCAAGAAGTTCCTTCTAGCATTCAATCCAAATGTATTATAGGATAACTTCAAACTATAAGACTTGGTCATGCACTCTAAGATAGCAGAAAACGGGCCTGCTTCCTTTGTTGAAATATTTAAAGAGTGGAATAATATATTTATTTATTTCGGACGCTTCTACCCCGCCCTTCTCAACCCCCTAGGGGGGACTCAGGGCGGCTTACAACTGGCACAATTCGATGCCAACAATTCAACAGATAAAATACATAACAGCAATAACCACAATAGTTAAAACATTCAATTAATACAATAACAACTAAAAAGCCAATATAGTGGCCAACGTTCACCAAGTTCTAAAATTCGTAAGTCCATTCAGCATTACCATAGTCCTTTCCAAATTCTGGTCGTCATTACCTTGTCAGTCTGCCAGATTACCCAAAGGCCTGGTCCCATATCCGTGTTTTCAGCTTCCTTCTGAAGGAGAGGAGGGATGTTGATGACCTAATTTCCCCGGGGAGTGAATTCCACAGGCGAAGGGCCACCACTGAGAAGGCCCTGTCTCTCGTCCCTACCAGCCTCACTTGTGATAGAGGCGGGGCCGAGAGCAGGGCCTCCCCAGAAGATCTTAAACTCCGAGGTGGGTCATAGAAGGAGATACGTTCAGACAGGTACGCTGGGCCGGAGCCGTATAATGTTTTCTCTTCACCAAGTTGAACATAACCGGTTCCTTTAACATCTCCTCATATGAAGAACAAAACATTCTCATTGCCCTTCTCTGAACTCACTCCAATTCATCTATATCTTTCTTAAAATGAGGTGCCCAGAATCTCCAGGCTCATGATTTTCTGTTTAAATCAATTTTTCATCTGCAGTGGATCATATAATTAGTTTAAGTTCTTAAGCTGTAATTTTAAAGGTAGAAAGAATGAAAGGTTAAGTACACATGTTTTTGCCTATGTACCCTGTACATAGTCTTTAATATTCTGTTTATTTTAGAAAGTAGAAACCTTTAGTACCAGCTACCTCAGGCATGGGAAAACTTCAGCCCTCCAGGTGTTTTGGACTTCAACTCCCACAATTCCTAACAGCCTACTGTTGACAATCTAAAGTTGATGAAAAACTGATTTGTAACCCTTTTGGTACTAATGTTGAAGAGTGGTCCCTGGTCAAAAAATAGGTTGGGAACCACTGGTGTAAAGCAGCCATCCTCAGAATAAATCTTGCCAAGAATCCCCTGTAGTAAGGTTGTTATAAGTTGGAGTTGAGGAGCCCCCAGTGGCGCAATGGGTTATACCCTTGTGCTGACAGGATGGCTGACCAAAAGGTCGGCGGTTCAAATCTGGGGAACAGGGTGAGCTCCTATCTGTTAGCTCCAGCTTCATGTGGGGACATGAGAGAAGCCTCCCAACAGGATGGTAAAACATCCTGGTGTCCCCTGGGCAATGTCCTTGCAGACGGCCAATTCTCTCACACCAGAGTCGACTTGCAGTTTCTCAAGTCACTCCTTACACGAAAAAACAAAACAAAAACCTGTAAACATTTCTGAATAGTTTGTATTATATTATTGCTGCCTAGCCATTCTGGATTGTTTTGTCTGACTCTGAAACCCTATACAGGTTTGGGTCTTGCTTATCTGAAGTGCTTGGAACTAGAGGGTTTTTTTGGATTTTGGATTTTTAAAGATTTGTAATACCTATACTTGCATATACATAATGAGAAATAGGGGGATCCGGGGTAGGCGCATGTCCAGCATCCAATGAGTTTTCCTTCATGGAGCCTGATTTGGGTTGGGAGGGGAGAGAGAAGATAAGGTAGATTCAACTTACACAATGCCACTGTGAGATACAGATGTCCCAGACACATTTGTGGCCTTTTACCAAAATAGCATCCCCACTCCTGCCCCATTTGTTTCCTTCTTTCTTAGGTTTCTTCCACACAGCTGAATAAATCCCACATTATTTGCTTTGAACTGGAATATATGGCAATGTGGACTCAGATAACCCAGATCAAAGCAGATACTGTGAGGTTTTCTTCCTTGATATTCTGGATTATATGGCTGTGTGGAAGGGCCATAAGACTGCATTTGACTGTGGATCAATAAAGTTTTAGCTTCATTGCAAATCATGTGTTAGGTTTTCACGTCCTCCAGAAGGTCACGAAGGTGCAACAGGGTACACTGTATTAGAAATATGTGTTGCTATCATGTCTTTAATTGTTTTTTAATACCAGGTGGACAGCCAGGTTATTTGTTCTGCAAGGGCACACGTGTTCACCTGATATAAAAATTCCAAGATTGTTTTCCAACAGCAATACACACAGGCATTTTTATTGTCTGGTTTAGGGTTTCTACTTATTAGTGATGACACAATACTTAATTTTTTTCAGAGAAAGAAAATACAGTTAACTTTTATGTTCCGGAGGAATGTATCTAGTGTGCCAATTGACTGCGCAGAGGAGGTTTTTTAATAGATATCTTCCCACTGAATCAGTGATATGTGGGTGTTTATTGTTCAAAGTAGCAGCCTGGCGGGCAGATCTATGAATGTGAACATGATGATGGTACTGTGCATAATGTAGAGCACTGTGGCACATCATTCAAGCTGGGTGCACCCCCGCTAGTGTGTAGGCTGCCTTTTAAGCTGTTTGCCCTACATGGACTTAGTTTGATGGGCAACGTGCCTGGCTGTGTGTAGGCAACTATCATCTGGTGCCAGAAGAAGGGAAAAGTAGACATGGACCAATATACTTATGGGAAAGAATTAGTGCAGCATCTGAATGAGAACCTTTTCAGTGCATGATTTATGTATGTGTGGTTTTTTTTTCTTCAAATCATCTGTTGACTTTTGTTAATTCCATGAATTTCAAAGATTTTCTTAGGAAAGGAATACCCAAAGATAGTTTTGCTGGTTCCTTCCCCTGAAATACCAAGACCTGATGTTCGCTGGTCTTCTCCCATCCAAGTACTAACCAGGGCTGACTCTGCTTAGCTTCCCAGATCAGATAGGATCTGGTGCCATTAGGGGCCAGATTTGAGAATATTCTTATCTGTTCACTGTATTTAGCAATACCTGAATTGACTTTTAATAAGCTTTCAGAAGTCATTTTAAAGCTTTTGTAATTGTGTTCATTTTTACAATTATTGCTCGGTAATGTAATCTATAACTCAGTCTTTTTAGAATTGCTGACACTATATGTTGAGTGAAATGAACTGGTTCTCTTTTATGTATTTTGAGAGAGGCTATCTCCCAGTTTTACTAAATTATTCAGATAATGAATCTAAGGAAGTATAATTTATTTTGATAACCTAATTCACCAATAATAAAATCATGATGAAAATAATTTCTTAAGATATGAAGAGAGCAAGTTAAACCCAGATAGCTCTCATAGGACTTGTTTATTAACATGATTTTCTCTCCTTTTCTTCATTTTTTTACAGATTACTGACTCATCTGGGCACATTCTCTATTCCAAGGAGGATGCTGTTAAAGGCAAATTTGCTTTCACCACAGAAGACTATGATATGTTTGAGGCTTGCTTTGAGAGCAAACTCCCTGTAGGTGAGTGTGAGCAACCCTTCGGGATACCTTTTGCATGTTTTCCCCTTCTTTTCATGCCCTCTATGTGCAGTACATTTTAAAAAATAACTTTTGTTTGGCAAACAGGAATGTCTTCCAATTGGGTTGTTGTAGGTTTTTTGGGCTATTTGGCCATGTTCTATAGCCCGAAAAATCTACAACAACCCAGTGATTCCAGCCATACCCAAAGGTATGTAAACATTGTCTTCCAATTCTTTACTGAAACAAAAATTAAGAATAGTCAGTTGCTAAAATTACTGATGAAGCCAATATTTTATTTATTTATTTATTTACAGTATTTATATACTGCTTTTCTCCCTCTAGGGACGGGGACTCTAAGCGGCTTACAAAAAATAATGGCAAAATTGCATAATAAGCCAATAAATAATTACTTCCCAGAAGTTCTTGAGTTTGAATGAGAATTCAGAAAAGTCTGAAGAAATATGCAGTTTAAAATTTGGAATGAAACTTGAGAAAGAATAGGCTAACGAAAAGGGAATTATGGCTGCGTCCTAACTCTCATGAGTCATTACAAGTAAGAGTCCTCTTCTGGCTCCCACATCAGACAGATGTGCACTCCTTAGTGTTTAAGCATAGAGTCCCAGAGTTCTCAGATCTTACCATCACATATCTAAAACTAGCAGGATGTGGAACTGCTTTCAACCTGTTCACAACTGGATAACATAAATTGATAAGGAAAGTACTTTAGTTTTACAATCAACTCCAGTTTCTTCCTATATGTGCAAGTAGAATACCACAGTATTTATACTGATCGTGCTGTACATGTGGCATCTTTTTCTTTTTCTTTCTTTTTTGCAGTCTGTCTATTACATCAGAACTGGGACTAATGTTTGTTCTCCCCATTCCCATTCATAGTTTGTTCCTCTGATAAAGCAGTGGAGAAAATGGAAAATCTGTCTTTTTATAAATCCATAGCTAACATTTTGGTGGTAGAGGCATGTCGTGGTTGCAATGTCGTTTTGCACTACAAGATGAAGAGGAAGTGTACAAGACGTCGATTATGAACCTAGATCTTGGGTACAGTTGCCTAACAAGTCATAGAGCTTACATTTCCTTTAGGAGTGACGCATTTGCCTCTTCTTTTTTTCTGGTGTCTGTGCTTTATGTGTTGAAGTTCAGGGCAAATAGTTTACATACCTTTGGGTATTTTCTTACTGCTTCTGATCATAAATCGGCATAGAATCATAGAGTTGGAAGAGACCTCATGGGCCATCCAGTCCAACCCCCTGCCAAGAAGCAGGAAAATCTCATTCAAACCACCCCCAACAAGTGGCCATCCAGCCTCTGTTTAAAAGCCTCCAAAGAAGGAGCCTCCACCACACTCCGAGGCAAAGAGTTCCACTGCTGAACAGCTCTCACAGTTAGGAAGTTCTTCCTAATGTTCAGGTGGAATCTCCTTTCCTGTAGTTTGAAGCCATTATTCCATGTCCTAGTCTCTAGGGCAGCAGAAAACAAGCTTGCTCCCTCCTCCCTATGACTTCCACTCACATATTGTCTCCTCTCAGCCTTCTCTTCTTCAGGCTAAACATTCCCAGCTCTTTAAGCCACTTCTCATAGGGCTTGTTCTCCAGAACCATGATCATTTTAGTTGCCCTCCTCTGGACATATTCCAGCTTGTCAACAACTCCCTTAAGTTTCGGTGCCCAGAATTGGACACACTATTCCAGGTGTGGTCTGACTAAGGTTGAATAGAGGGTATTCATCTTACAGAAGTTTTAATGTGACCTAAGGCTTTGCTTCTCACTATCCTGCTAGAAATCCCAGATCCTGTGCCTCCTGTTTTATTAGCCCATAACGTTAAGTGAGAGAATCATAAGAAGTTTTATATGTCTCAATGTGTCTTCCATTTCTCCAATTAATACTGCTAATAATGCAATACGCTAAATAGTGAAAAAATTAAAAATAGATCCTATCAATCATCAGTATAAGCAATCAAAGCAGCTAGTGTTGGTTCCCCTCCATGGCTTCAGCTATAATAATTTTTTACATCTATATGAGTGTGGAACTAGTAACATGAGATGCACATTTAAAAAACATTAGCACTTAAAGTATTTACCAGTGTCTTGTCATGGTATTTAGCACAGTGTCCTGTTGTGGAATGTTTTGTACATATAAATGCCATTAAGTAAATAATCATAAAGTTTTTTGCTCGAGTTCTTGGTAGCATCAGCTGTCCTTGATGTGATTATCACTGACGATTTTGGATGCTGTAGCAATCATAGATGCAGGGTTATATTCTCCTGAGAAGTGAAAGTCAGTGTAACAGACAAGTTGGCCGTTGGGTCTCTAAACAACTGAGTTTTCTTATGCAATTAGCCACAAAAATGGGGAAGAGGAAGCGAAAGGAACAGCTTTTTGCGCAGAGAGTTTAGCAGAGGGAAGAGCTGATTTGCAAGACTTGAGGAGATCCCTGTAATAAGTGGTTTATTGCTATCACAAAACTCTTGCCTTGCGCCACTCACTTTGCTCTTTGACTTCAGGTCATTGCCTACGCAATTCTCTGCAGGTATTCTTGCTGTTCTTGTCACAAACTGAAGCATGGAAGGAAGAGATAATGTGTTTTGTTTGATGAAATTTTAACTCATTTGTCTTAAATGTAGCCCCATGTCCTTCTGTCCAGATTGTCTGGCAAAGCTCTCTATAGGATAAAAAATCCCATGATTTTCTTCTTTAATAGCAAGCAAATGTTCAAAGCCACATTATTTCACACTCAAATTCCTGATTCACCCTCTGGTTTATATCTTACTTGAAATTGCAATAGACACGTACTGTTGTCACTGAGACAATAAGCAATAATTATTGTGTAGCCATCAAGATATGGGGAGATTTTAGTGAGATCTTTGGAGAGTTGGGTGTGCTTTAGACTTGATAGTTGGTCTTCTAGAACCATCTGCTCCTCTGTGTGTGTGTGTGAGAGAGAGAAAGTCCAGATTCCAGGCAAGCACAGAAACTGGTGTTCAGAAGTTTATTCATTTGGGGTAGTTTTAATGGCCAAATAAAAAATGGTTAGCTTATAGCATGTCCATACTGTGGAGGGGAAAGTCTTGCCTCAACACTGGGCTACATCTTTGATATGTAGTCCATAACCAAGAGAAAGAGTGGTTGTTCCAGTTGGTGTTTCCCATTCTTGATCTTTTCATTCCTCCGGGAAACTCCAGATTGGTGTCACTTTTTGAAGATGTTCAGTATGAAATTGGTAAGAGACACCCAACATTTCATCCATTCTTTCTTGATAAAGATGCCTAATGGAATGGAGGAAACCAAATAGTGGGAGTGCCTGCTGATGGGTGTCATTTCCCAAAGTTGTATGGAGCACTTTTAGAAACCAGCAAAAATGCTCCTATCCTACAGACAAGTGAAGGGTAGATGTTTCCGGGCAGGGGCATGTGCTGTCAGGCACTGCCATTTGAAGGCAGTCGTAGCTTTTGATGAGCAGTGCCCAGTGTTCCACTTACCCACTCTTTCTGGTTTTCTCTTTAGGATTGGAAAGACCTGTATATATAGTGTAGCTGTAGCATATGCTTATCATGATGTGTATATTTGTTATTTGGTCTTAGTCTTGTGGGTCAGAGGAACAAATTTAGAAGTGGATGCTGCATGATCTGCAGTTTTAGCCATTTTGATGTCAATGGCATATTAATTTTAGACTGATTATGTGCAGGATTTGTGTCAGAAATATTGTGCAAACTATCCGTCCTGTAAAGCTCCTTTTCTAGTTTTAAAGTAGATATATTGCAATTGTGGTAAATATCTTGTTGAGGCAAGAACATTGTAGTGTGTAGAGTGTTCTCCCTTTAAAGTGGAAAAGATCCATTGTGAGTTTTTATTTTTGTTTACTTATATATAGTTTTATTGTGAATCTGGTTGTTTTTAACTTTATGCAATTAGATATAGAATCATAGAAGTAGAGCGGGATATGTTTCTAGTTCACAATATGAATTTCTGTGGGTTCAGTCTTTTGATGTCCTTTTGGATAATTCATGATTGATACTTATCTATCAGGGGTTGAAAATCTATATTGTTTTCCATATGATTTCCACTATTATGTTTGCTGTGAGTTTAGCCTCATAACTGACCAAATGTTGGGTTGTTGTGAGTTTTCCAGGCTGTATGGACATATTCCAGAAGCATCACGAACCATTACGAAGTTTAAGATCATCTGGAGAGGCCCTGCTCTCAATCCCACCGCCATCGCAAATGCGATTGGTGGGGATGAGGGACAGGGCCTTCTCAGCGGTGGCCCTCCATCTGTGGAACTCTCTTCCCAGGGACATCAGATTGGCCACCTCCCTCTTGTCTTTTAGAAGGATACTCAAGACTTGGCAATGGGACCAAGCATTTAACCATTGAATAGCAGCAAGTGAGAAGAAGACTTAAGCAACTCGTGACAATGTATTGACCCGGACTTGGATTTGGATTTTAATTGGCGTGTTTTAATTAACAGTTTTTAATGTCTTTTAATGTACTTGTTGAATGTTTTTATGATAGTGATGGCATTGAGTGGTGCTTGTTGTGAGGCCACTCTCGCCTGACGTTTTGCCCACATCTATGGCAGCCATTCTCAGAAGTTGTGAGGTCTGTTGGAAACTAGGCAAGTGGGGTTTATATCTCTGTGGAGCGTCCAAACATGGGACATTCCACAGATATTTCCCATGATTCCAACCGTAAAAGCCTTCGACAACACATTGACAAAATGTTTTTTCTGATAAATGTCTGCCATCTTAGCCCAGAGACCCAAAGCTGCTGCTATTTGCTGCTATTTAATATTTACATTTATTCTGAAGTTATGCAACTGCTCATTCAGAGCAAAACATATACGAATAAAATATATTGCCGTTATGAAAAATGCTTGTAATATTTTGTGCTATTAGAAGTAGTTCATCCTATCCCATGAAGAATGCAATTTCTCTCCCTACCCATTCCATGTCTTTCTTTTGCAGTGCTTTGCTGCCACCTATCTGTGAAGTGGGCCTAAAATAAAGATTTCCAGGTTAAGGGGGAAAGGGTTAGTGTTCATTACATAAAGCCAGAGTTCATTATATAAAGACTTCTCATGTGGTTGTTCTTGACAGATAAAGGGGTGGACCAGAGGGAATAAGGAGATCCCTTTTCTCCTCCCTCCCCAAGTACATTTGTCTGCTGGTTGTATTCCATCATACCAGGATGTGGATTTTTGTTGCTTTTACATGCCTTCTTGTAATCTCTGATTTATAGCACACTCTAGCATAGAGGTTTTTGGTAAGATTTACTTAGAAGAGGCTTGCCAAGCTGAGTGAGTGTGGCTTTTCCAGGACATCCAGTGGCTTCTGTGAACGAGCAGAGATTTGAATGCTGGTATCCTTGAGCAGAGCTTCTTAAACCAGCCTCACAATGGAGCAGGAACGGGAAATGTGTGGAATGACAAAATGAGAGTGGCGGGGGGGGGGGGGCCCCTACATGCCTCTCCAGGCATTTCTCCCCCCCCCCCCCCCAATCCACATCTTGGGGCCCTTCAGCTATGTGGAAGGGGCCCTAATCTTTCTGCAGAGCTTGGCTTGGAATAGGGTGGGCCCTCCATATCCACAAGTTCAACCATCTGCAGCTTGAATGAATATATCTCTCTCCAAAAAGCAAACCCCAACCTTGTCCTTTTGTATATGGGACACCACTTTACTACACCATTTATTTGGAACTTAGACATGCACTCATTGTTATTGCTGTGGTACAGTTGGCTCTCCTCATTCATGGATTCAGTCATCCAATATTTTTTAAAACTTTGATTCGTATACCTATTTTATATACTTGTGGTCTCATAGAAAGGGCTCATGAATTGAAAAAGTTTAAGAAGTCCTGTCCTAGAGTCCTAGCCCAAGATTCAAACCACTACACCTCCCTGGCTGTCAGGAGATCAACATATACAACTGTTTTTCTTTTTTATGGCAACCTACGTACTCATTTATTCCCCCTCCCCCTCCAAAATAAGTCAGAGCTGTACTGCTAATGGTTTAGCTTTTCCATAAAAGAGGTGGAACCCCGAAGGGTTCTTTGCAGGGTGAAGTGAGTATGTTGGTTAGCTGTCTAGCCTCCTACCCATATTATTTTTAGCAGGGGGAAAAATCTCATCTTACAATGCAAAACAAGCTATATGCAGACACCTAGACTTTTGCAAACTCCAATAATCCTGCACTGTCAATTGCATGAGGGTATGTCAGGGAAAATGTTTATCTTTTAAAAAATTGCTGAAGTTGGCAAGTACATTCCCCAATATATTAATAAATAAACAAAAATGAAAACCAAAGTACCTTGTGCCCATCTTTGGGTGGTTTGGCCCACGACATGGATGAAAATTGACCCCACACATTTCACATTTGTCCACCTTGGATCTTTTTTACTAAATAGAAGCCAAATTTGCATTTTTGTGCAGTTTACCCCCACAGTGGGTGCATTATCTATGATTTTCATTTGTAAAAATTAGAATAACTAATGTTCTGATAGAATAGGTCTCCTACTGTATCTTTTTATTATATCCTACTCTTGTTTAAGTTAACTCCTAACCTCACCAATGGGTCTAACAACAATAATTTATTTATTTGTAGAACACCCTATCTCCCCCAAGGGATTCAGGGGTAAATTTCTTGATTTGGGACCCCCAGCGGGCAATGTGGACTGCCAAAATGCTACCTAAAACCATAACTAAGCCAATGGACAGAAATCAATGTATAGTTTGAAAAATGAGATCCTTTATGTTCACCAGTAAAGGAACCCCCGAGATCTATTCATAATATGGGTGGACATGGCTAATTCCCCCAAAGTCCCCTAGCCCCCCAATTGTTCAAGAATTTGCATGATTTTTAAAACCACACAATAAGAGACCCACACAAAAATGTGCAGAACCACCCACATCATTTACCACCAGTCATAGAGATTTCACCACTTCAAAATATGTATGTGTTGGAGTCCCTTTTGAAATGTTGACAGGGAAAAAAAAGATATTTTATATGTTGGGCAATATGGCCCACAAGGGACCTTGGGAGAATTTCCTCCCAGTCTCCATGATGTTGCCAACACCTAATTTAGAAGGTGAATTGCTGGTTCTGGAGACTTCCAAGAGAAACAGTTTACTTTTTAAAAACTTGCTATTTCTGTGCCATAAAGCTTCCATTTGACATATTTACCTTTTTATGAGTCTCCGCTTAAAATCAGATTAATAATGTTAAAAAGTGAAAGGTATCAACACAGCTCATCTGGAATTGAAGTAATAAATAAAAATACGTTGACATAACCTTAGGGTACAAAAAGTTCCTAAAAGACCATAGCTCTTTTCTCTTCTGAAAGTCGAAGACTAGAGAACCAACCTACCTCCAAAAAAGGCAACCTATTAATTTTCTTGCCCAAAATGATGTATATAGCCATATCCATGCATATGTGGCATTGGGAGACAAGAGTTTTAGTAGCTTTTATTCTAACATAAGTACTGTATATAATAGTAGTAAGCCCCATTAGACTCAATGGGACCTGTTTCCGAGTAAACTTGCATAAAATCTCTCTCTAACTTATATTTCAAAGATTTTTTCAGGAAAGAGCCTACCTACTCTATAATTTCATCCTTCTTGATAGTTCCTGGGATCGGTTGCTAATATCTGGCATAACCAATCAGACAAATCCAAAAACAAGTCAGCTGAAATTAAACCTCATAGTTACACCCACTAAGCCAGTCTGGCTGCTTGAGAAATATGTATACATGTCCCAGGTTAATTGCAATCAGAGGCCGCGAAGAAAGAATCTGAATGAGGGGGAAATAGACTGGAGGAAGGGGGAAAATTTTGGTAGCAATGTGACTGTCGTACTCCAAATGATCCTGTATTTATCTAGGTGACCCGCAGTCCTAGAAGCATGATTTCTGATTATTTTTATTTGTTCAGTCCAATATACAACTTTGGGTTTGTTTATATGTTTGTTTATTAAATTTATATTTCACCATTTTCCAAAGACAGGACCTAAAAACAGCTATACTAGCTTTTTCATTTAGCTAGGGATAGCTATTTAGCTCCCTCCAACTTGTCTGGCTCTATGTTCTGTGTGTTTCCTTATTATGAAGGGGAGGAACAAAGCTCAGAAAGCTGGAGTGCCTTGTGTTCTGCATGCTTCATGTGCTTACTTGCAGTTTGATCTCATTACTTTTGGAAGTTCTTCATCCTATATGAAGATTATTGCTGTAATTTTAGGCATAAAGGAGCTGCTGCATTTGCTATTCATAGGCTTCTATGAGAACAGAGCTGCAAATCCCTCCTGAATGGGATGGAGGGGAGTAGGAATTTCCTGGCAGCCTGAGCATTTCATACAATGAATCCTTTCATTCCATTTCCAGGAACAGGGCGGATGCCAGACCAGCTCGTGACCTTGACTATGAAGCATGGAGTAGAAGCAAAGAACTACGAGGAGGTACAGCACTGCCTTTGCTGTTTGTGGCTCTAATTCTCTTCTTGTCGCCCGTGATGTTGTGTGTGGCCTTATAGTTCACGGTGTGATTTTGCTTTTCCTAGCCAATTTAATAGCCTGCCTGCTTCATAGAGTAGACTTCTCTCTTAGTGGGGTTATTAAATTTGGCTGAATTCATTGTGGTGAGGAGGTGGGAAGAATCTCTTGCTTGGCAGTGAGTTTACTAGCTGTGACAAATCCAAAAGGCCTATGCATTTTATGTTACAACATTTTATATTAAAATAGTCTGTGTGCCTACTTAAATAGTGAATCATGTATTTAAAGACATGGCTGCAAATGTTAGGCAATTTTTAGAACATTAGACTCCAAGTATGGGAAGATTCCTTTGTCACAACTCTACGAAGCATCTGACATAAAATCTAACTTAATCAAGGTTGCATTAGTAGTTACCATGGGGTAAATCCAATTTTAATTCCAACAAGAGTAGACCTGCCATACACACTCATATAGAAGTCAACCTCACGTATAAGTTGAAGCCAGGTTTTAGGGCCTAAATTTTGGGTTTCGGTATGAGCTGTGAATACGAGCTATTGGAGGTAAAAGTTGAGGTTTGACACGGGACTTCTTGGATCCATTTCACGGTGAAACAAAAATACTTTCACCACAGGCCCTTGGCCACTACTATTTCCCTAAGCAGGCACTCAAAAATGGAGCAGGGAGATGAAAGGCTAGAGCTTTGTCCATCCCAGGAAAACCTAAAAGAAACACTGACACCCCCCCCCCCTTTACTTTGTCTACTGTATTGCCACATCTGGCAACACATTTTTGAATGCATGGACAAGAAAATAGTGATGTTAGTGATTGCTCTTTTGCATTACGCTGCCATGGAAGGGGAGCAGATGGAGATGGTGTTTCTTTTGGGATAGGCTCTTCCTGGACAGACTGTTAAGTCACACTAACAGACTGTTAGAGTACACATTATGTTAAGGCAGTGGTTCTCAACATGTGGATCCCCAGGTGTTTTGGCTTATAACTCCCAGACATGCCAGCCAGTTTACCAGCTGTTAGGATTTCTAGGAGTTGAAGGCCAAGAGATCTGGGGACCCACAGGTTGAGAACTATTGTGTTAAGGCGTGAGGGCAAAGTGGAGCTACTGGCTGATATCTGGAGGAGTTCTGCAGATCTTTTTAGATTACCAATGTAGATTAGATTACCATTTGTGCAAAAGGTATTTCCACATTCACAATATTTTTCTTTTTCCTTGTAGAACATTTACCTTTTTGTTTCTTCATCTTATTTTTAAAACTATCAGATTTTGGTTGATTAAAGTTAGGATAGATTGCTTTCTTGAACCTACTCCTAACCTTTAGAACTAAAATGCAGGGGGTCTTACTAAAAAGGCTGATTAACCCTGTTATCACCATTATTTATAATGTAGTATTATCTGTGTACATCACGCTTTACATGAGTGATTGGTCTACAGTTGTTAATTTGCTAGTTTCCTGTCCCTTAGTCTTCTTGTTGCCCCATGCTTTCGAGTTGTTTCCGACCGACTGTGCCTGCCCCCTTTTTCTCTCCCTCTATGCCCCCTGTTGGGATGGAGGGATGGGATGTTCTTCCATCATTCAAGGATGCTATTATGTTCACAACTGCTGAGCTTTCATTGTCCCCTTGTGGCTTTGCAGCACAGACTGATTGTTGCAACACTGTCCTTTGTGCTATTATATTATGAGTTCTGTTCAACGCGTCCTACACTATGCAAGACCTATTGTGTTCAGTCATGCTCTCCCACTAAATGCGTTGAGAAATGTCCTTTAAACCAACTTACAGTTTGAAGCTGGAGGTTCTGAATCTGAATGACTGTACTGTTCCTCAAATAATTCTGTTCCTCTCATGTGGTTTTTCTGGTCTGTTACACTTATTCTGTGAGTGATAGACTAATATATATTTATTTTGTTAAGGACTATTAAAATGTTAACTGAAGTAAATAATCAGAAACCATCAAGTTTTCTCTAAATTGGAAAGTGAATACAATACATTCATGGGTATGGTTCACAAGTGAAGAGAAAAAAATATTCATCCCATACATTATGTTTGTTGTAGCTGACAAAGGAGAGAAGTAGAGATATGTTGCCCTTCTCCTTATGGTGTTGCTGTATACAACTCAGGACAAGGTATCTCCTATTCTGGGATAACTGGTATACAGCTTGGAAGAATAAATGCTAAAACTCCACAATAAAATCCTATTTAACTTTATTCAGAAGTAAGTTCCATTATATTGAGTCATTCTTATCACTATTTTGGAAATAAAGTCCTACCTAACCCAAGGCCTGCCATCAATTGTCAATTTTCAAAACAGGATTCACTTCTTACTTCTGACAAGTGTGGCAAAAATCTGTCACACCTCCCTCTTCAGTACAGTTGTTACTGCTTTGAGTTCTTTTATTTGTTTTCTTTCTCACAAGCTGTCCTAAAATAACAAGTTTGTGTAAGTTGCTTGAACTGATGATAAGTATTTTCCTTCTGAGTGCTAAAAACGTATTACCCAAGTTATTGTAATAAAATGATGTGGGTGTTTAGCTAGGGCAAACACTTAATTTACCTGAGAATTAGCCCAGTTGAACTCAGTGGAATCTCCGAGTTAGAGATTTAAAAGATTGTGCTCTTCATCTATAAGATCGCTTTCTTTGTTGGAATAAGAGCTTTGGTGGACTTTAACTATATAAACTCATTTCAGTCTTAAAACAAAGAACTGTTCTGTTTCCTTGTCTTTTAATGATGATATGGATGTGTGTAAGAACAAATATGTGCACTAAAAAGGATGTTCTTAAAGCATTTGTTGTCCTTTTAATTATGAACACATTCTTGATTAATTTAATCTAATTAATTGATTCAGTAGTGTACTCACAAGTTAAGAGACTTCAAAAGAAACTATCTTTGGCATACATCAGACAGTTACGCCAAGCTTGTCAAGATATTGCAGTTTACAGCAGTAGACGGGTCATCCTGCTGAGACCAGCCACAGTGAGGTGATGACCACACTCTTGTGTACAGCTGTAGTGGTTCGCAACCTGTGGGTCCCCAGATGTTTTGGCCTTCAACTTCCAGAAATCCTAACAGTTATAGGCTAAAACTCCTGGGGACCCACAGGTTGAGAACCGTTGAGCTAGAGCTTCATACCTCAGAAAATAGGAGGAAAGACTTGCTTGGTTATGGACAAGAACATGTTTCCTGTTGTTGAAATACTTCAAACTATTAGAAGTACAGCAAGTACTTGATGTTTGTATTTTAAGATTTTTGTGGGGTGGATTTAAAATAGGTTTTCCGAGAATTCTGAAAAGTCAAGAAAAGGGTTGTATGCATTTAATGTTTTCCTAGTCATGTGTTCCTTATTTTGTGATCTCAGCCAAATGGAAATCACTTTAAAATATCCAGTAGAATTCTGCTTGGTGTCAAAATGAGAGCTTTGGCCCATTTACGTTGTACAATCCATTTAGACTGAAGGGAAATTATCAGCGTCATTTTTTTTCAGCTGATGTCACACAGCCAAATCAGATTAGCTTGGTAGTACTATGGCATCATGACCTTCCTGGTATGATCTTGATTGGTTAGACCACATTCTGAAGGAGGAGTTTTAAGATGGCAACTGAAGCATTCTCATTTCCAAACATTTTGGGCTCCTGCAAAATTCTCCCTCTGAAAATAGTCAAAATAAGAAGGGGAAAAGGTCCTTACTTACACATTCTTAAAAGTCCTGTGTTATTTTAATACAACTACCAGTACTTACATTGTTTTATAATAATGTTAAAATATACAAATCAGAAAGAATATGAGAGGGCTGTGTAATGCAGTAGTAGAATAGTGTTGTACATAGGGGAACCCAGCCAATGGAAAAGGCTATCTAATATCAATGACAAGCTAGTCAGTGGAAAAAATAAGCTGATTTTAGAGTCAGGGCTCTGCTCTTTAGTGGTGGGCGCACAGTCTTGTTTTTCAGTCATGCCAAACCTAAAAAATGAGATGAATTCAAAAATCTTTAGGCCAGTGGTTCTCAACCTGTGGGTCCCCAGGTGTTTTGGCCTACAACTCCCAGAAATCCATACCAGTTTACCAGGTATTAGAATTTCTGGAGGGTGAAGGCCAAAACATCTGGGGATCTACAGGCTGAGAACCACTGCTTTAAGCAAAGGGAGGAATATTTATCTTTGGAAGGGTGGTCAGTAATTCTATTAGCCACAGTATTTATATGCTCATTACCTAAGTGCTGAAAAGTTCTCCAATAAAAGAAATGTTTTAATGGGAATAAGGCTTAGAGTGCCTCCTTGTGGCGAGGCTTTCACTAGTTTGATCATAGACCCATAGAAGACTCTTAATAGTGAAAACTTTTAATATTTCAACCCAAACCTACATTAGTCACACATTTTTATTATGTATGTGTGTGTGTGTAGCTAATGTCATATATGCACATTGTGTTTTATGTTATATACCAGTATGTGTGAAAGGTAAAGGCAATTCATGGCCTTTCATCTTTGGTATCTTAATTTGACCTACATTTCTTCCTTGATCAGATTGCTAAAGTTGAGAAGTTGAAGCCATTGGAGCTGGAGCTGCGAAGACTAGAAGATCTTTCAGAATCTATTGTCAATGACTTTGCCTATATGAAGAAGCGAGAGGAAGAGATGCGAGATACAAATGGTAAGTATATGTGTCTGTCTAACATATGTTGTTATGTGGCATACTTGGGACCTGGCTGATAATTTAAATCAGGCTGTCCAGTCCACCACATCATCATGGCCGATTCCTCATGGCTAAGTATGATTGCCTTTGAGAAGTAGAGTTTTGATGGTGGATCTGTAAGTGACTGTAGAGACCTATTCTGGATCTGTGTGGTCTATCACAGTGACATAGATTTCCAGATGAAAGATGGTCCCAAGAGGTCCACCTATGTATAGATGAATTATCAACTTGTAAAGTTGCTGTAAAGATTTAAAAAGATTCCACCACCATAAATAAGGTATTATGAAATGATTTGGTGCTGTGTTGCTGATGAAGAAGTGGTGGTCAACATTTGACAGACCATATATTGTTGGCCTGCATTTCCCGTTATCTTTTGCCATTGTCTATCCTAACCAAGGCTCATGGGCATTACAGATAAACAACTTCTGGAGAGCCTTTCTCCAGTAAGCCTTTTACCACCTATCTGCTGTAGATGAGTTAATCCTTTCTGTGCACTCTCATATTAATCTTGCTATTTTCATTTTATCCACACAATTCATGTTTATATTGACTTCTTAAGAGTTTGTACATTTTGTGTTTTGGATAATATAGGTGGAATAGTCTTAAATTAAATAACTGTTATTTTTTTTTTCATGTCTGGCAAGTCGCTTCTGGTGTGAGAGAATTGGCCATCTACAAGGATGTTGCCCAGGGAATGCCCAGATGTTTGATGTTTTTAGCATCTTTGTCGGAGGCTTCTGTCATGTCCCCACATGGGGAGCTGGAGTGACAGAGGGAGCTCAGCCCGCTCTCGTCGGATTCGAACCGCTGACCTATCGGTCAGCAGTCCTGCTGACACAAGGGTTTAACCTTTTGCACCACTGAGGACTCCCACTTTGATATTAAAGTAATCTTTGTAGAGTGTGACACACAGACACACACTGCTTTCAGAAAGCAGTGTGCTTTGCTAGAATACCTGAGCGAGGCAGCTGAAATATGAAAATGTCACCATGGAGAAATTTTACATAATATTTAAAATATATTCTGCCCTGTTTCCAAGGGTCCAAGTAAATGTTCAAAACATCCTAGACTCTGATCACGGGAGTCCTTTTTGACACTGCTTGCATCATTTTTAAGTGAGCATGTGTTAATATCGTTTGTGAGTCCTTTTTAGATTCACCTTTATGTGAAGGTAACTCAGAGAATTGTGTTACCTTTGCATCCAATCATTTTGGTGCTTATTTTCATGTCAGTGCTTTAGGTGAAGAGATATTACATAATAATAACAATAATATTATACTATACTGTTTGTGAGATTGAAGTCATTAAGGGTTTATGAGACTGATATTGATTGCAGTTTGTTTTGTTCTGCAGCTATTGTTGCATTTTACTGATCTTAACGGGGGGAGGGGGTTATGATGTTTATGTTAGTTGTTATTGCTTTGTGTTTTTTCTTCCACTTTTTGTATTTTGCGTGTTTGCACCTTGAGTGCTTATGAGACGCCCCGAGTCCCTCCGGTAGATGGTGGCGGGGTATACATAAATTTGTTGTTGTTGTTAGGGTTGTAGGGTACCATGGTATCTTTTTGAGTAATAGACTTTCTTTCTTTGTTTCAGAGTCTACCAACATTCGAGTATTATACTTCAGCATTTTCTCCATGTTCTGCCTCATTGGATTGGCTACCTGGCAGGTCTTCTATCTGCGTCATTTCTTCAAAGCCAAGAAGCTTATTGAATAGCAAGAGGAGCATTTTTTTTTTTTAATTTTTAAATTGAAACCCCAACAGGACAAAACAGAGATCCGGCAATGTTTGTTTATAGCTAACTTGGAGTTAGCATGCCAAACAGAACTTTTTCTGCATTTGGCTCCCAAAGGGAGGGAAGATAACGTTGGCATAGGAAAAAAAGTGAGGAGTCTCCTGAACTATTTTTGGATAATGTTGGGAGGGACTGCAGTTGTGATTTGAGGGGACTCTTGAACAGGGATGAAATAAAACTGCAGTTGGATTTTGCGCTGTCTTTTTCCTCTCCTTTACAGATAAGGTTAGGTGACCTCTTTTTGTATATCAAGAAACTGACTATCATGCCAGTTGAAAACATAGTTTGTGAAACTTGAAACAGTCTGCTTGTTGCCGTTCCGCATTTTCTGAAGGAATGGCACAAATGTGCTTGACACCAGTTCTTCCAGAAGCAGACCTTGTCACAAAATAATTGGTAGTTATACCTTAAGAGTGGGAAACATGACCTCTCATAGTTATCTATCAAAATGTTCACTGTTTCTATTGGTGAAATCATAAAAGATGTAAGGAAATTAAAGAGATCATATGACACAAGTTAGAAAAGATGAGCTGTTGAGCAGGCTTTTGCTCTCATGCTGTCCCATTCTTAGAAATGATGTTTTCTCTGGTTCTAAATGTTTGACTTATTGAGAACACCTTGAGAGCTGTGCAAGGCCATTAATTTAAATCACAAGAAGCAACTGCCAGATGCATAATTGAAATGCACACTCAGGTTAATTCCTCTGTGAGGAATATTCTTGTCTTCTCTCCTTCACTCCAATCCACCATCAACGTAAAGCTCTATGATCTGCCAAAGATAAAAGTAAAATGGCTACCTGGTTGATACCAGACCTGCATTGCAACATAACTTAAGTTATATCCATGTACTTCTAGCCATACATTTACATGGACACTATTGTGTGATTACATAATGGCAGTGACATGAGCCAATGTGAGGTATTTAGATCAACTCTAGTTGTGTGTTGGTTTCATAATAATGTAAAATGGTTTAATGTATATTAAATATTTACAGTTACAACACAAAAGAAGTATGCAGAAGTTCTCTCTCTTTTTCCACACCTCCCTATCTCTGTCCCTATCCCCCAGCCCCTATCTACAGTTGTATCTGTAAAAATACCATATGAGTACATACGCATTACCCTTGAGATACCTTATTTTGAAAGGGGTCATGGTGCTGCCTCCCAGCTATGAATGATAATGTGGGGATGCAGTGCACTTACAATTTCCTTCAGTCTTTTCTGGCTCGACAAGGAGATTGATTTGTCAGTCATTGCTACCCATTCTCAACAAGTGGAAGGCTTCTTCGGGGTTTATCTCTTTTACTAGAAGACAAGATTACCATCCAGGCTACAGGAGAGAGTCTCAAACCAGGAATTGAATAAAGAACTGGACCAGACTTGATCTTTCAAGGAAGGTAAGTTTTCTTAGGCAATGAATGCTCTGAGGTTGGATTGACATTGCCTTCCTCTGAATGGAGCCTACAGCATGTCATGTTCCCTGCAGTCTCCCTTCCAAGTGCTAACAGGATCTGGCACTGTTTAGCTTCCAAGATCAAACAGGGTCTAGTTCCTTAGTACTTGGAATGGAATACAAAATGCTGTAGATTCTATTCAGAGGAAAGCAGTAGTAAATCTCCTGTGAATAAATCTTGCCAAGAAAACCCTGTGATAGGGTCGTGAAAAATAAGAGTGGACTTGAAGGCACATAAAATAAATATAAATAAAAAAATAAAACTTTATTTATATACCGCTCCATCTCCCCAAGGGGACTCAGAATGAAGCTTTATTCAGCAGGCATATAAGGAAAAATTACAGGCATTACCTTAGAATGTAGGCATCATACTGTCTCAGGAGTTTCTCCTGTTGGGTCTAACATATATAGGCAAAAGTTATTCGCCAACAACTTTAAAATACAAATTAATTTGAGCAAAGTACAGGCAGTCCCCAAGTTACAAACAATATAGGTTCTGTAGGTTTGTTCTTAAGTTGAATTTGTATGTATGTTGGAACAGGTACCTGTTTAAAGTGTAGCTTTGGACAGCATAGGAAAGGGTTAATACCCCTGTGGTGTTTGTTTTGTGTCTGTGCCCCAGTTCAGAAGATTTCACCTCACTTTCTGCCTCTGTGAAATTTTGGCTTGTGGAAACGAGAATTCAATTGAGACAACTTTTCCCCATGATTCCTTTTTTAGGAGTGACTTTCCCTACGGAGGGGTAGATTTCTCTTATTTCCTTTTGTCTCAACCTCTTTCTTAAATATAAGTCTGATCTTGGTAACTCTGGGACTGTCTGTACAATGATGCATCTGATCCAACTAATCCCAGTTCTTAAAATATTTATTGCAGCCATTTTCTCTGGGCTTGCAACCATATTTTTAGAAGACAGTAGCCTAACAGAGGAATGCTGATCTGGAGTGGTCATGATTTTCGGAGAGGTATTCCCTCCAGGACAAAGTAAAGCAGTCTATTCTGAGTCCTACTGAAATGCTTTGCCTGTTGTAACACTTTACGTTTACTTCCAGACCTGACAGTAGGGGGCTTCTTCACCTGAGAGAGTCACTTGGAGCCTGTGTCCTCATATAGAAGAGAGACAGATGTCAAATGAGACACTTTGAGACTGCAAATGGAGAAGGACATTTTTATTTAATTTTAGTACCTTTATTTTCAATTACTTCATGACAATTTGAAAGTGTGGCCTGATCTTTCTATCTTCATAACTGTCACTCTATAACAGGCATGGGAATTGTTAGGAATTGTAGGACTTTGGCCCTCCAAAACACCTGGAGGGCCAAAGTTTGCCCATGCCTGCTCTATAACAATCCAAGCAAGCACTCAGGATTCAGGCCTATGACTAAATTATTTTTTTTTATCTTTCCCTGATGAAGAAGCAAATGAGCTTCACAAATAATGTGATTAATTTTGTGTAGGATGGTTTGCCTAATAAAAGAACACCAATATGTGTATTTCAGATTTTGTATTCTATTTTATGGGCTACTTTGCATTTTATATGCCTTGTATTTCCTTCATACTGAGTAAAGAACAATATAATAAAAACAGTTCACGCTGCTAGTTTAAATACCCTCAGTGCATCTGATTGACAAATTTCTCTTTGACCATTGATTTCATAGGCAGGAGAATGACCAGTGTTTAAACTACTACTACTACTATTTATTTATTTATTTATTTATTTCCTATATTTATACCCCGCCCTTCTCCCCCCAAAGGGGGACTCATCTTCCATTGTAAAAAGCACTGTCCTTGATTTTTTTTCTTTCTTTGAGTAAAATAAATTAAAACCTAGTGCAAAAGACAAGTATAGCATATCAGTACTATTGCTATATACCTGGCTTAGTTTCAGGAAGAGGGTGAACCATGTATTATAGATCATATACCAAGTTGTAAAGTCTTCCTAAGTAGGGAAACCATTGAGTATTTTTATTATCTTTAGAATAAAAAAGAACACAACATTCTACCATTATATAAAAACAACCTGAAAAGCAAAACACAACAGAAAACAGCAAAAAAAAAAAAGAGAAAAGAGAAAAAACCAGCAAAAAATACCCCAAACCTTCTACATGCTACTTAAACCCAGCAAAAAGGTTAATACTACTGCATGTTTGTGAAGAGAATCCTGCAGACTACCCTCTTCAGAAGGTCTTTGGCGGTCTTAATTCTGGGTACAAAACAGGAATGGCCGGGCTGCATTTGGGTATCACTGAACTAGACATCTGAAGATTTTGTCCAGTGCTTGTTGGTTGATTAGAATATCCATAACTCATTGTTGATGTTTTGGTAAGGAACAGAGGCATCCATAAATCTCTCTCCCAGTTCCTCTCTTTGTTCCGCAACTCAGTAAATCTCCATTTATGAGCACACAGTAATTAATCAGTCCAGTCTCAGTTCAGCAAAGAATGAGTTTTCCCCCTTTATTTATATTTTGCACAAAAACTCAACGGACAGAAATAGCAGACTTAACATTGCAATGCACAAACATATTGTTTACTTGTCTTGTCGAAGGCTTTCATGGCCGGAATCACTGACTTGTGGTAGGTTTTATAGTAAATAAATAAATAGATAAATAAATACTAAGGCCTTCTACTACTGGAAACAGCATAGATAATTTAACTGGAAAATAATATAAATTATATACAATATTTTAAAAGTTATGTGACATTGCAGCTAAGCCAAGTAATTACATGTCTCCCTCATACTTCTTTTGCCTTTTCTGTTGATCATGGGTGCTTCAGCTAATATTGTATAGCTAGAACCAAGAAGAACCCAGAATGTCTCCATATCGGTTCAGCAAATTTGTATTTCTTCCAAATCTATTGTTCAATAGATTTTATAATTTTATTTTTTGGAAACTGTCAATCTTTTGTACTGGATTGTCTGATAAATATTAATGCAATTTGTTGTCAAAACCAAATTAGTTTTCCTTTCCACTCCTTTGAGGGCAATGGTGAGTGCTCAAAACAGTACTAGAGACGCTGCTAGGGATGAATATTGAACCAATTTTCCTGATACTGTTTTTCTTGCATATTCTTCAGTGTGGATTGCCTGCAACACAGTCATATGGCAACCGCTGGCTCTTCCACACATATTTCAGCTGTCTCCAAGATTGTGCTGTGTGTCAAAATACATTTTTGCACTTTCCTGGCTGTGCAAATTATTTACTGTGGCAAAAATAACTTCAACAAAGGAGTTGAATCACACCTGTTGATTCCATATGGTTTGCACAACAGCTGTTGAGCCTTGCTTCAATTTTTAAAAGAATTCCAGTCCCAAATATGTGTGCAGTTTTAGCTCTCATACATGAGGGTTAATGAGCAAATGCCTTCTTTCTACTGTGTAGCAAATGCCTTCTTTCTACTGTTTGAACCATTAACTGCATAATGTGCTGCTGAAAAGACTGGGTGGGTTAATTTTGTGAAGCTATTAAGCAATATGATAATGCACCAGCCATTATCCCTCTTCCCGCAATGGCGTTGGTCTTAGAAATCCAAAATATGCTCTTGCATACTCTGTCTCCAGCAAAGGGACATAAGAGAATTTTTTCTTGACAAAGGAATGTTTTGATTTAACATTATCCAAGAAGAGGAGGCCAGAGGAGAGGTTCTCATAGGAGAAATAATTGTAGAAAACAATATTGCTGGGGAAATCTCAAACTTCTTTGTTCTTTTGCTCTGTGAAGTTTTTTCCCCTTCGTTGCTG